TAATCGCGACAATGGAGGCTCACGGCATTGGATTGGATAGGCGACATGTTATGCTACTGGCTGACGTTATGACTTATCGGTAGGTACAATTATGTATTCTCATACATTTAAATTTATCACCAAGCTTTGCACTCTTTAGTGGTGAAGTTTTGGGAATTACGCGTAATGGATTGGTAAAGATGAAGGAATCGGTCCTGCTTCTGGCTTCTTTCGAGAAGACCATGGATCATCTGTTTGAAGCAGCCTTCTTTAGTCAGCGTGACCCGGTAGGCAATTCTTAAAGAATAAGAAATTGCCTTAATACTAATCCAATGCAGAAACTTTTTTATTATAACCTGTTAAACTTACTTCATTGCAGATACATGGTGTTTCCGAATGCATTATACTTGGAATTCCGATCTCCATTGGCACAGGAATGTTCAAGCTACATCAGAAAGTTCCTGACATAGCCAGCTTTAGTCCAGGAGAACCCATCTTCATGAAAAATGAATTAGGCCTGAAGATTTAGTGTTAGGAACAATGAGCAGGGTTGATACTACCGTAATACATTCGTTTAAGTGGTTTTGTTGAAATGATGACTATAGTTTTTTAAGAAACCCTAGAGCATCGCATATTAGCGGCTGTGTGCGCAAAAAGAAATCCTCATCCGTTGCTGTTCATCAATTGCATTTTTTGCGTCCATTGATAGATAAAGAGATAATATCTGCAATGGTAGGTCATTGGTAAGCGAAACATCTTTAGCCATCGCCCAATGAGCATACTAGGTATACAAATTTTGAAAAACGGAACAACATCTGGATCGTGGTAATGCCATTCGGGACGTACGACCGTCGTGCTTGAGACCAATTTCGTCAAAAACGGCGTTGACCGAGTAGCAGCCCGCGCAGTTTGTCGTGAATTTTAAACTAGCTTTACAAGGGGCATGCTAAACTCCGCTGCAGTGCATTCGCGCAATTCAACTAATTCTTAGTGGAATTGGAATGATGGGTTGGAACTTCTTTGTGATTGAGCGATATCAAATGGATTGGTAGAAGTCACGCGTGTTTCTAGACATCTTTAATTTAGGCATGAAGTCTATTTTCTTGAAATCTTGCTTTTTCGCGATGATGTTGTAAAATATTCATGGATGGTTCTCCTCTCCTGTAGTTTCACAAATAATATTTAAATTGGGGACAAATTACTGCGGTCATTAGCATGAGCAGCCCGGCATGCTTTCGTGTTATTGGCTGCTCCGGATACACTATCA